CGGCTTTCTTCACCGGACAGGTGTTCACCAAGGCCAGCTCCAGCACACACAAGGTCATCCGAGTCTATGTGGGTGTGAACACCAAAGGCTTGCATCTAATGAACATGGAGACAAAAGTGAGATTTTAATGCTAATTACTTAAATAGCATGCTACTATAATGCTCCGAATTCTGTTTTTGAGTCTCCTGCAATAGATTTACATGCATCCAAGGTCAAAAAACACTTTTTTATAATATACATTCAGCATCGCCTCATCTCTCAAATAGTCTGAAAACGGTTAGTTTGAAGATTTAGTCTCATGGCGACAACCTGAACCAAACTCTTCCAGTCTCGGCTGCAACTACAGTGTTTCAGGGTCAATAAAAACCATAGACTGGAATTATGCAAATTTGGGTAACACTTTATTTTACATTGTCCTTGTTACATATGTTACATGTACTTACCATAGTATTAACAGTAAATTATGCATAATTACAGGCAACTAACCCTCAACCAAACCCTAATTCTACCCTAACCCTATAGTAAGTACATGTAGTTTAATAATATTAGTCAGTCCTTAAATATATAATTACACTTTAACAATGACACCTTAAAATAAAGTGTAACCCAAATTTGTTACATATTTGCTATTTTTGCATATTTTGGCCGATACCGATAATTTTTTATATTTGAAAGCCGATAACCGATATGTTGGCTGATAAATCTAAATCCAAATAAAAACAAAAGTCTCCCCATTAAAAGCCATGTCCCAAGCACACAATTATAATATCCTCATTATCATTTTATGTAGCCGATATCCTTTTCAAAGTGATTCCAGTCATATTTCAAGAAATTCAAAACCAACATGATGAACAAGTGCGCATCTGAAGCGTCTCAGCTGAAGGAAATACTACATTATTTATCAGCTTTAATATATAAACCACATTTTTTTTATCGGGGCAGTAACGTTAACATTAAAAATGAACATCGACTGTAATTACTGACGACTCGTTTCTTTAAGGCGAGACACGGCAGGCAAAAACATTGGGGGTTTTTCACTGGTCAATTCTGAGATTTTGGGATATTTGTCTTCAATAACATGTCTTCTTTCAGACTTGTGGTGAAAAAAAATGGTAATTTCCTTTTTATCAGCAACCAACCGTGAAAGTAAAAGGGGGGGGATTTAACTCTTAATGCGCAATCTCATTGGCTGATGCTAAATCTTTAAAGCCCGTTTTCTCAAAATGAATTTTCTCTCATACTCCAAGTCTGAAATCTCCACTTCAGTAGCACTATATACACCAAACTGTCCAGTCTTGTTGAGGGATTTGTAAATATATTATTCCTAGCCTGATTTATATAACATTTTATTCCAAAAAAACATGGCGAAAATCTTTTTTTTAAGGCTATTGACAGTATATTCTGACTTAGAGGATAACAAACGTAGATAATCCCTCTGTAATTTTTTCCCATCTAATATGTGAACACAATGAAAAAAGAATTTTGAACCTGGCTTTATCCAATACTAAAATATATGCAAATTAGTGCATATTTAATTAGATAATGCCTAATTTGCATATTTAAACATTAAATTACAGAAAACCTGTAATACATTTCTTTCTCATCTTAATGTAGGTAATCAACTGGGAAAGATTCATGGTGATATCTACTAGTTAAAAAAATTACCCTGTTCACCTTTGAGACACAAAATTTGAGTTTTGAAGCAGAGCTTTTACATTCACAAACAGCTTCATTACACACTACGTGAAAGGTCATATCTGAAAAAGCATAATCGGGGCACTTTAAATCACACCGACAGATGCTTTTACGTGGATTATGTCCCTCAAACCTTTTATATTTTATACATCAGGTGCTTCATCTCAGTCTGGAGTATGGGACGTTTATGTGGCAGCTCGGTCAGGCCGACCAATACGTCCAAATACACAGTCTGGAGAACAAGAAGAACTTTGTCGTACACACCAAACAGGTACGAGTCTCTCTCTGCATCTCGACAGTCACGTGACGACGCGAAACCCGAGCTTATGGTCTTGGTTTTCTCCCCAGGCCGGCCTCATCGTGAAGCTGCTGATGAAGCTGAGTGGACAGATCACACCGAACGACAGGGCGGTGGCAGATAAATATGCTTATGGTTGAACTTATCACAGATATCTTCGCATTTTTGCCTTTTTTTGTGCAGTTGTTTTGATTTTTATGCTATTTTAAAACTATGAATAAGAGTTGTTTTTACCAAAAGAAGATATTACGTATCATCATGAATGTTAACCTAATTTACCATGTTATATTTTCTTACTGTATATGGTATTATATGCATTTTATAATGTCATTTGTGCTTTTAACAGTTTTTGTAAATATGAATGGCCATTTTAATAAAAAAAGCTCATAAATTATACAAAAATTGCTTTTTAAAAATTATTTCTCAATCAGTTTGAAGCTGTTTTTTACGGAAGAGGATTAGGGCCAAGCAATAATACAAAAAATAAAACCATCTCGAGATTAAAGTCATTATAATGCGAAATTAAACTCGTTAAATAAAAAATAAAAAGTCGAAATACAATCTTGAGAATAAACTCATTAAATTTTGAGAATAAAGTCGTTGTGTTTTGAGAAAAAAAAATCGTTAAATTACGAGAAAAAAGTAGAAATAATCGTGAGAATAAACTCATTAAATTTCGAGAATAAAGTCGTTTATTCTCACAATTCTACTTTTTTCTCGAAATTTAACGAGTTTTTTTCTCAAAACACAACGACTTTATTCTCGATATTTAATGAGTTTATTCTCAAGATTGTATTTCGACTTTTTTCTCGAAATTTAACGAGTTTTTTCTCGAAACACAACGACTTTATTTTCGATATTTAATGAGTTTATTCTCAAGATTGTATTTCGACTTTTTTCTCGAAACACAACGACTTTATTCTCGAAATTAATGAGTTTATTCTCAAGATTGTATTTTGACTTTTTTTTCAAAATTTAACGAGTTTAATTTAGCATTATAATGACTTTAATCTCGAGATGGTTTTATTTTTTTATTATTGCTTAGCTTGGCCCTAATCCTCTTCCATAGCTTTTATCCACAAGCAAATCAGTAATGTTTTATTAACATAATTTTTCACAAACAAATTCCATGACTTTTACAGTAATTTAAATGTAATTAATTTGATCATCAAGAGTAATTCAAACCAATTTGTGAATCTGTTAGACTGACAATTTTATAATTTTTTGGTTCAAATAATATAATATTTGAAATATAAAACAAAATGCACTGTCCGTGTTACAGTGTAATTACACATTGAAGTACTGAGTAATAATAACTAATTACATGTACTTACTATAGGGTGTGGTTAAGGTTAGTTGCATGTAATTATGCACAATTTATAGTAATTACTATATTAACTACATCTAACATATAACAAGGACATTGTAAAATAAAGTGTTACCATATTTTTTTATTATTAAGTGAAACATCTACATTTATAACTCTTAGTCACAAGAACGTATCAATGTTCCTGTGCAGATTTCCATTCAGTATTGAAACCGGCTGTTGTTTCGAAGATTAATGGCTTTTCTGAATTGCCACGCCAAGATTCAGCCTCTATAACATTGTCGTGTAGTGCTTTGCTCTAAGGCCAGACATATTAATCTCATTTTCATTTACGGTCCACTGAACGCAGCATAAAGGTCAGAGCATTTCAAATGGTTTGTTAATATATAATTTGCATAATCTGGATGCACATTTTATGGATGCGCTAAATATTTGGGTCATCTATAGCCGTTCCGTGACCGTGGAGAGCGAAGGTTCGTTTCTCACTGGATTTGTCATCTATAAAGGTTAAAGAAAAAAATTAGCCCGGGGTGACCCTCACAAAATGTGGGGAACTTTTGTGAGAGCCCGATATCTAAAATGGCTGCCGTCGGCCAAGCTGAAAAAATTTACTTTTTAATGGTTTTGCCCACAGTGCTGCAATAATACATGGTTTCTGAGACTATTTGGGTCAAGAAATTCATAAATGATGTAGATTTATTGATTTGACCTTCAAATTCAAGATGGCCGCCAATTTTTGGCTCGTCATACAAAAATCGTCATAGACCCTTAAAGGAGAACTCCGGCGCAAAATGAACCTTTGGTCTAATAAAACATTGGTACCTAGTCAACCGTTCTCTGAGATTTGTTTTCATGATAATCGAATGTAAAGAGTTTTATCTCTAAAACTGTTTAGCGTATAACGCTAGTAATGGGGGCATCTATTAAGTAAAAAGAAATCGCTAGTTTATACCACTAACAAGACTCAAAATAGCCCCACACGAACACAGTAACATAATGAGGGTCTCTACATGCAAAACGAAGCATTGAGAACTTTGTAAGTGTACAGACCGTTTAATAAGAAGATATTTTATGAAGACAGTCCACTTCGTGTATACAGACAGGAGCCATCTTTGGAAAACAGTCTCGACTAATCAAACCACGAACGACGTCCTAAGTGAGCTGAACTGTATGAATGGCGTTCGTGGTTTGATTAGTCGAGACTGTTTTCCAAAGATGGCTCCTGTCTGTATACACGAAGTGGACTGTCTTTATCTTTATCTTCTTATTAAACGGTCTGTACACTTACAAAGTTCTCAATGCTTCGTTTTGCATGTAGAGACCCTCATTATGTTACTGTGTTCGTGTGGGGCTATTTTGAGCCTTGTTAGTGGTATAAACTAGCGATTTCTTTTTACTTATTATATGCCCCCATTACTAGCGTTATACGCTAAACAGTTTTAGAGATAAAACTCTTTACATTCGATTATCATGAAAACAAATCTCAGAGAACGGTTGACTAGGTACCAATGTTTTATTAGACCAAAGGTTCATTTTGCGCCGGAGTTCTCCTTTAATATTCGGCTCAAGTGAAAGCTCTGCTCATACTGAGTTCAGTTATGGACAGTAAAATTACAACATATTACAACCTTCGCTCTCCACGGTCACGGAACTGCTATAGATGATTTAACTAAAACTTCATTAAGTTCAAGATGTAAATAATGCATTTGTGCTTTTGTATTGTGTCTCTCATTCAGCTTCCATTAGGTGATGCATTGACAGGATTTGGTCAGTCGTGTCTTTCAATACATTCCCCCTTTCCTTTGCTCACTTATTCCCCTGTCGCAGTCATTGTACAACAGAAGACGAACACTAGACTTCTGTTCCTGTTACTCTAGAGAATGAAAAGATTGTTCCCGGCCTGCCAAAACGACATGGATTCTCCATTCCTCTGAGAATTCCTTCTCTTCGTCCACAAAAGTGATAAAAACGCTCAAAAAAAAAAAACCCCGTTGAGGTACACGGTGTCCGACTTCTCAACGGAGATCTTTCAGCTGCTAAAACCAGTGTAAAGCTCAGAGACACTGATGCCTCACTGAGATCTTTCTCACACCGTTTCTCACACAATGCCTGAATGGGGCTTAGTGGAGGAGAAGGGGAGGGGAATCCTTTCAGTTCTTCAAATGCAACAATAGTCTTTGTCTACAATGTCCCTCCATTCTTATTGGGGTTACCGAAGGGGGACGGGGTGGAGGGGCCCGGTTGCCATGGTGACGGTGACAAAACAAGCCGGTCCCCAGAGCGAGAGAGACACACACACAGAAGCATGCTTCAAATCCGGGACGGGATCTCTGTATCAATCTCTGCAGTTTAGTTAGAGGAGACGGTGTGTGCCAAAGGAGGAGGAAGAAAGAAAGGATGGATGGGTGGAAGAAAAGCCAGTGAAAAATACCGGAGCGGTATATAAAAGAGGGACGTTTGGACCAGGACTCGTCTGGATGAACATGATGAACTCCGACACTCAGTACGAGGACTCTGTGTCTGTCATGGTTCTGGAGAACATCAAGAACAAGCTGTTGCACGCTTTCAGAACATCGGCAGAACCGAGAGCCTCCGCTGAGACGGATCGAGTCACTCCTCCGAGCGGGAAGAGTTTCCAGGTCAACGAAGAGCTCCGGAGAGCCAAGATCGATGGAGCCATAACTTGGTTAAGATCAGAACTGGTGAGTTTAGAAACTACTGATGTTTTTAC